GGGGCGAGCAGCGCCTTCACCCCAGATGCGTGCCTCATGGCCCTCAGCCAGGGGCCGCAGGCCGATGCGCGGAGGACACACCGAGGGGCCTCGGGACACTCGCGCGGCTAGAGCGCCTGCCCCGGGGCACCCCGCCCCCCTCCGCCTCCTTGTGGCCTGTCTGCCCCCTTGAAGAGTGGCCCCCAGGCCCGGTTCACCGGGCACGGTGCCCTGGCCAGCCCCCTCCCTGCCGCCCCCTGCCCCTGTGTCTCCTCTTCCCCCTTCTCCCGCCCATCGCCACCGCACCTCGCCGCCCGTTACCCTGCCCCGTCGCCCCCCCTCCCGAGCCAAGCCGCCTGCCGGGGAGCGTCGTCACCAATCAATCATGAAGTTCCCACTTCGCTCCCGCACCAAAATCAAGGATCCCCGTACGTGCTCGGTTTCCCATCCCCCCCCCCCCCTTTTTTCCTGTCATTCGCCTTTCGCACGCTCACCTTCCGGCTCGTGCTTGGCCCCCCGGCGCGCGGCTCCACCATTGGTGATCCCGCCACCAGTGTTGGAGGCCTTCCGAGATGCCCTCCGCAGTAACCATCGATCATACATCGAGTCCTTCGGGCTGAGCGCGTCCAGCAGCTCGAGCAAATTCTCGCCCCTCTTCTCGTCGTCCATGCTGTCACGCAGCCACGGCAGCATCGGCCTGATGCTCGGCGGCAGCAGCAGCAGCAGCAACAGTTCCAGTAGCAGCGCCAGCTCCTCGACCAGCAGCATGGCTGGACCCGGGGCCGCATACAGCCAGAGCGATTTGTCGGCCACCGGCATCTCCGGCCGCGAGTTGCGCGCCCTGGCCCGAACCATGAAGCTTATCGAGCGATCTCTGGAGAAGGATGTGACTCGGCCCGGGTCTGTTGCCGCCGAGCCGATCACTTTCGGGACGCTGTCTTCCATCAACCAGCAGCAGCAGAGCACGGTCGCCGAGGGCTTGTCCCTGCGTGTGGATGGCGTGCCTCTCTGCGAGCATTCGCTGTCCATCTTCACCTCGAGCCTCCGCTCGGTGGCCAATTTGAAGCACCTCTCCCTGACCGAGTGCGTGCCCGCTTTTCCTGTCCTTTTACCTCGATGCACACCTCCTCCGCGGTTTCTCCATGCCCTCCTCCTGCCCGCCCCGGGGCCCCGAGGGGCGCGACAAGCCCCCGCTCCCCCCCCGCTCCCCCCCCGCTCCCCCCCCCACGGCTGACCAATCCCCCTGCCCTGCTGTCGAATAGGTGCCATCTTTCGTCGGGCGACGTGCGCATCCTCATGGATACGCTGCTCTTGGACAAGCCGTCTGTCACGTCGCTTTCCTTCTCGCGCAACCCCATCGGTGATCTGGGCATCGAGTCGATCGCCCGGTATGTCCGTGTATCCGAAGGATCGGTTCATAACCTCGAGCTGGAGGGCATCTCCGGCCTTTCGGCCCATGGGGTTGGAAGCCTCGTCGCAGTGCGCATCATGCCATCCCCGCTTTTTCGATGTCCACATGTGCTCTTTTTTCCGCTGGTGCTCTCATGCTGCTCCCCCTCGCCCGCTCTTTTTCCTGACATACCCACGCAACCGCAGCTCCTGGAGTTTGTCAAGGTCCCCTTCTCGGTGAACCTGAGCATGTGCCCCGACCTCTTCGAGTCGGCGCACATCGATCGACTCATCGCCGCCGCCAACAACAATGTCTGGGTGACACGTCTCCGGCTGGAGGGCTGCGGCCTCAGGTGCGCGATGGGATCCACTTGTCCGCATGCACGACTGCGATTTGCCCATTTCCCGTGGCATATCCCCCCCCCCCCCCCCCCCGGGACCCGGGCCCCGCCCCCCCACACCCCCGCCCGCCCCCCCCCCCCCCCCCCCCCCCCCCCCCCCCCCCCCCCCCCCCGCCCCCCGCCAACCCCACCCCCCCCCCCCCCCCCCCCCAGACGCGGTGTCTGTCAAGGTGTGTGTCTTATGTCAGGGGCGGGGAGGGGGAGCAGCCCACATAGGCGTGTTACAGGCCCAGGCATATCCCCCCCCCCCCCGCCCTGTCCATGGCCTCGGCACCTTTCCCACCACGCTGGTCGCACGTTTTGGCGCCCCACACAACCTACGGCGAAAGGGGGGAGGGCCGGTGCAGGCGGGAGAGACGGAAAAAGAGCGAGGCCACTCCCACGACTCCCCCAGAAGACGCGGCCCGGGCATGCTGTCCATCGGACGTTGCCGCGGCCCCCCCCCCC